GTTAGCTCCACTGTTAGCTCTCCTGTTAGCTCCTCTGTTAAGCTCTCCTGTTAGCTCCTCTGTTAGTTCTCCTGTTAGCTCCTCTGTTAAGCTCTCCTGTTAGCTCTCCTGTTAGCTCCCCTGTTAGCTCTCCTGTTAGCTCCCTGTTAGTACATTAGTAGACACGTTCCCAGCTATGATTTAAAGCATCGTGGGAACAAGGATGGTTGGAATAAAGTTCTACTGTGTCTGTGTGTGTCCGGGTTCTGCTGGACCCGGGTCGGCTCTGACAGCCTGAATCTGTTTCAGTCTTCATGGATGACTGGCGGCTCCTCTCAGAGTCTTCGCTCCTGATTGACGCGTCTCTCTCTACGTATGATGTCATCCACGTGAGCCGTGACATCGACACTGACCGGGAAAGGACCAGGGACTGGTGTCTCCATGGTAACTGCAGGTGATATAACCTGTTGGAATGCAGAGGTCAGAGGTGAAGTTAATGAAAGCGTGTTTCCTCTCAGCCTGCCAGGAGGCGGAGTCTTGTGTTGCCGTGTCACTCAGGAAGGTGGAGTCAGCGGTCCGCTGCATCCTGTACCCTGACACCACGACCTGTGGGCTAAGCTCCGCCCCAGACTCCCTTAGCCCCGCCTCCTCCTGCCGCCTGGTGGTGAAAGAGCCCGCCCCCCAGGTCTACCTGAGGGCAGGTGAGCTGATGAGCCAATCACAGAGCAGAACAGAGCATGGCAGCTCACTGACCCAAACGTTTTCTTAGAGCGATCGCCGCAGGCTGCGTCCATCTCAGTTCCCGGTCATGGGACGCTGCAGGGTGTTGCCATGGAAACAGCAGTCGGCTCAGACAGGAGGACGGTGATCCGGTTCCTCGGAGTCCCGTACGCTCGTCCACCAATAGGAGTGCTCCGCTTTGAGGCAGCGCAGCTGGCCGATTGGACGGGAACTTGGGACGCCACCAAGCCCAGGTAGTCAATCAGAACCAGGACCAGTCTGAACCATCAGAACCTTGGGGTCAGAACCATCAGTGACCCTCCGGTCCGTTTCGCTCTCAGGCCCAGCTGCGTTCAACCCGGCGACGATGAGGACTCAGCTTCCAGCGAGGATTGTCTCTACCTTAACATCTTCACGCCCGCTGTCCAGGTGAGTCCTGAACACCCGACCGGGTCCGACCAGAACAAGGCCTCTAAAGAGAAACATGGATGAGTTTCTGAGACATTAGTCCTCCGGTCCTGGAAATGTTCTTCTTCTACTCCACCAGAGAGGGCGAGTCCCGGTCCTGGTTTACTTCTTCAACCCTCCAGCCAACCAGAACCAGAACCTGCTGGATGGCTCCGCCCTCGCTGCTCTGGGGAACATTGTCGTGGTAACGGCCAGCTACCGTACGGCAGCACTGGGATTCCTGACTGCAGGTGAACACACACACACACACACACACACACACACACACACACACACATGTTTGTGTTGCTATCTTTGTGGGGACTTTCCATTGACTTCCATTCATTTCTACAGCCTAAACCTGACCTTTACCCTTTTCCTAACCCTAACCAACCAAAACTCAATTCATACCTTAGCCCTAACTCTGACCCCTGACCCAAAAACAGGGTTTCCCCTCGTGGGGACCAGGCTCCGGTCCCCACAACGTAGTATATGTCAGGAAAATTGTCCCCACAAGGTATTACAAACAAACGCACACACACACACACACCAATACGGGTCGGCAGCCAAACACACACCTGTCTGACCCCCCGTTTCCATGGTGACTACAGGTGGTCTCCATGGTAACTACGGCCTGTCGGACCAGGAGGCGGCGCTGCGCTGGGTCCACGCCCACATCTCCCTGGTGGGCGGAGACAGCGGGAGCGTGACGGTGGGGGCGGAGCGGCGCGGCGCCGACATCAGCAGCCTGACTCTGCTCTCCTCTTCGCCTCCGTTCCACAGAATGATCCTGATGGTGAGCTGCAGCAGCATCATCAACAGCTGCATCAACAGCTGCAGCAGCAGCTGCAGCAGCATCACACCACATGTGTGTTAATTCAGAGCTGCAGCCTCCTGCCTGCCGTTTGCACACTTACTGCCAACAATTAACAGAAATAATTTGGGTTATTTAGCTTCCATGAACGATTGGTTCATTTTTAGAAGTAATATTTTCACCTTATTATTTATAAATTTAGAAAGTTTACAAATATTCATAGAGGTCAGTATTTTCTCCAAAACTAAACATTTAGCTTTCTTTCTAAATATTTAATTAGCAAGCTAAAGATTTATCTAACTAATTATTAGTTTGTACGTAAAGCTAAATATTTATGTCCAAATTAAATATTTAGTTTGAAACTGTGACATTAGTTGAATGAATAACATGGTGATTCATTGTTTTCTTCTACTTCTAAATAACCCAAATCTCTGTTGTGTCTTTAATGTGCAGTGAAACCAGACGGCTGCTCAACATGTGTGATGTTCTTCTCTAACTGTCGTCCTGCAGGGAGGTTCTGTTTTCTCTCCATCTTTGGTCCAAACTGCTTCGGCCGGCAGACGTCAAGCCGTGGATTTGGCTCGGGAGCTTGGCTGCGTGACCTCTGACCTCTCTGATGACGGCCCTATGGTGGCATGCCTCAGATCGACTCCGGTTCACAAGCTGAACGCGGCTCAGACGAAGGTCAGAGTTCTGAGGTCCAGGCAGTTCTGCCGCTCCGGCTCCTCCATGTCTGACCCGTATGTTTGTGGTGCAGCTGCTGGCGGTCAGCGGTCCGTTCCAGGCCTGGGCTCCGGTCCGCAGGTCCGAGTCCGAGTCCTTCCACAGAGTGGACCTGATGCTGGGCACATCAGAACACGACGGCCTGATCAGCAGAGCACGCAGGATAAAGGTCAGAGGTCACTGCTGTTTTTATAGAGATGGTCTCAGCAGCGGTCTCATGACTCAGCGGCGGTCTCATGACTCAGCGGCGGTCTCATGACTCAGCGGCGGTCTCATGACTCAGCGGCGGTCTCATGACTGTGTCCTCAGGACTTCGAGGCTCTGCAGGGTCGAGGCGACAGGAAGACTGCGTTCTACGAGGCCCTGAGTCGTTCTCTGGGCGGAGCCTCGGGAAACGCGCTGCTGAAGGACGCGGCGGCCTGGTTCTACTCTCTGGACCACGACCCGTCAGCTGCTGGCTACAACCTGTTCTCCAGAGCGCTCAACAACGCCACCAGGTGACCATCAGGCCAAACAAAATACCAACAACAAGGTTTCACACTGTCAGGTTAATAAAGGTCAAAGGTCAGTGTTGGGACCATTCCACTAATGCACCAATGATTAAGCTAATTTTTAGCTTAGCATTTTGATAATTCTGTAAATGTTTAGCACACTTAATGTTTCTGCTCAGCAAACTTTCAGTTGAATAAAGTTCATCATGTGTTGAAGTTTAAGATGTTCAGGCTGTTGGCTGTTTATCCTCATGCTCTTATTTTGAAGAGTTTATGCAGCAGTTCTGTTTTCTCTCGTTTTCATTTTGTGTCAGTGACACATCAGCATGGTTTAAATTAGCGCTTTAGCATTAGCTTCCTCTGATTAATATGTGGTGTAGCCCCTTAGCATTAGCAGAACTAAGGCTTTACTGCTTTTGTTAGCGCAGCTAGCTTTTTAGTTAGCGATGCCTGGTTCTGGTGAGAAGTGAGAACCGTTCTTGCAGAGGAAGCAGCTTCAGCTGGGCTGATCCGGGTTCTGAGAGCAGAACCGGCCAGTCGGACTAATGACCGTCGGTCTGTGTGTCTGGCTGCAGAGATCTGTTCATCATCTGTCCCACGGTGCAGATGGCTCTCCACTGGGCCGCCAGCGGCACCAACATCTTCCAGTACCACCAGCCCGCCTCCAGCGCTCAGGACAGGTAGGGAGCAGAGAGGACCGGGTCAGAACAGCTGTTCTGTGTGCGGGTCATGTAACCGGGCCTTTTCCTGCTCCTTCTCCACAGAGCCGATGTTTTGGTTCCTCTGGACGTTCAGTTCCTGTTTGGGATTCCCCTCCAGCCAATGAACTCTCAGCGTTTCACCTCGTCTGATCGGCGCCTCTCATTGGCTGTGATGACCTACGCTTCCAGCTTCATACGGACCGGGTCAGGACCACATCTGGGTCGGGTCGGCCAGCAGCTCACAGGCACGCTGACTCTTCCTGGTTCTGTTTCAGGAACCCAAACCCGTCCCACGTGTGGGCGGAGTCAGTTCTGCCCCGCTGGCAGCCGGTCACCGCTGAGGCTCCGCCCACCTACCTGGAGCTAAGCCCCGCCCTCCAGCATCAGCAGGGCCTGAGGCAGAACGCCTGCTCCTTCTGGAGGGAACTGGGAACCAGACTGACCAGTAAGACGGGTCGGTTCTGCTAGAACGTCTGCAGGGTTCAGATCATTTCTTCTTCTGCTTTTACCTTTCTGATCTTCTCTGCAGGTGACTTGGGGGCGGAGCCTGTCCAGATCCCTGAGCTCCCATTGGCTGCACCATCCAGCCAATCACAGACCAACAAGGACGCCTACAACTGATGACATCATCAACATGGAAACCCTCACACCACATTTCCCATAATGCACTTTGATTCATGAGTTTCTGCTGATCATTTTGTTCCCAATAATCAATAAAAGCATCTAAAACTGATTGCAGTCCAGTGAGTGATTTGTTTCCATAAACTCTGTTAAATTAAATCCTTTCCCCTGGTTGGTGTCCAGTCACTGAATACAATTTAAACATATGTTTTATATTTGATAATATGTTGGTTCCGTGTGGACCGACTCTTCCTGACCGGGTCAGGACAACACCAGAACCCGATCAACAACATTCTCCCTCATGTTTTTGGTTCTCACTCATTCAAATTCAAACATTTTGCATGTTTCCCTCCTGATGGTCCTGTCAACCCGGTTCTACTGGACCCAGACCATCTGCTCCACCTCCAGCTTCTGTGGTTCTGAGTCAAACCAACCTGTTCCCCTCCTGGCCTGTGGGGGCGCTGCACCAAGAACCACTGGAGACACTGAGAGCAACTTCCTTCTTCACCAGGTGGAAACAAGATGGAGGCGTCAGATTTTAGTGGTTGGAGGATTTCTCTTTAGTCTTTGGCTGAAGGCCAGGAGCCATTTCTGCTGCTAGCACTAGGCTAGTATGTTAGCTTTGGTTGCATTTATCCAGAATGCCCTGCTCTGTAGTTCACTTCCTGCTTTTGGAGCGGTCTCTCCAGTCCGCTTGGCGTTCACATTCAAACCAAACCAGAGATCACTTCATCTGAACCCAAACCGAGGTTTGGAGGACCAGAGGTCAGAGGTCGGTTAGCATTCACACCTGACTAAACGAACCAGACTTTGACTAGGCAAATAGACTGGAGCTGGATTGAAGCGACTGGACAGGGCTGATGTGAATGCAATGCACCCTTACATTTGGATCTTAACAGCTTCTAAAAGCAATCTAAGCACTTAAAGAAACACTCAGCCATGTTTTGGCAAAACAACCATTTTAAAAACTTCCCAATTAATGAGCGCTGCAGCATTACCTAGCAACCACAGTGAAGCCCATCCAATTACCCAATTTGAGCTCTAGCACATTTGGTCATCTGGTTTTCTGGCTCTACAATGGCTGCTGGAAAAGACAAACATTTAGTGGTTGCCTAACCATCCAGAAACCACTTTCTGCATTCTTGTTGGTTGTGCAGGAGGTTCCTCTTCTGCTTTTCAAACATGTATGGTGTATAACTGCCATTTTCCTAACTGAGTGTAAACATTGAGTTGGGGGGGCGTGGCCAGCAGCAGCATAGTAGAATTTAAAGAGACAGAGACCATAAAACAGCTTGTTATGAGAGGAGCTGAAAGCAGCAGACTGACATATGAAAATGATTCTCATATGATCACAACATGCTAAATGTCTCATTTGTTTCCAGGAGTTACAGTAAATCCAGTTCATTAACATTTTTCCTCCCTCTGTTTCTC